TTCTCTCTCCTTTTTTTTTTTTTTACCTAAAATACACTGTCTCACCCAACCCTTATGGATTTTAAAAGGTGTGACCCACCTTACTAAGATCTTTGGCAGTGACACTATCGTCATCCCGGCAGGGCAAGCGATGGACAAATGCTAACATCTGATACTTGGCTCTGATGAATTCTGCTTTAGTGGGACTGGTGGAAAACAAAAAAGAAAACAGTTCACTTGCAGTTCAGACACGACACTCCCCATTCTTTGGACTGTAAAAAGAAGAGGAAGTGACCCACATCCCCCGCTTGAGAATAAAATGAACAATGCTGAAATAAGTTTCAGCAGTGCTCAAGACCTTACATCTGAAAACATACTTTAGTCATTATAAATGGCTGGGACTGCAAAAATTTGCTTTTTATAGCATCTTCCTCCTCTGTGTAATTTTCTTAAGTGACTGCAACCTTGGGAGGAGGCAGCATTTAGTCTCATCTTATAGGTGAGGCATCAAGGAGACTGGTATCCAGAACCTAGGTTTCTGGTCTGACAGCCTCCTGTTTGAGTGCCTGAGTTTAAACCTGATTACATCTACAGCCTCCAAGCCTCAGTCTCTAACTGGAGAAATCATTTAACACCTGTCTGGAGGCCACGCAAAAGAAATGATGCCGCCTGCCTCAGGCTGAATTTCTACTAGCAAAGAGCACAGTGCACAGCTGGGGTAGCTACCTCCTGCATGGCCTTGTGGACGGAGGGTGATCAAAAATAGCTGCGCTCCTATTAGTGGAGTCCCATTTGTTACAAAGATATAGAAGTATTTATAAACATTCCACTCACTGTACTTTATCCTGTGGATTAGCTTTCCGTCTTCCACTCATAATAGAAGCAGGGTCCAGCAAAGAATGCTCCCATATAGAATTAGCACCATTGTTATACAAGGTTTCAACCATCTAAAACCAAGAGTATGGAATCCCATTTTAATTTCTTTCCATAAATAGTGACAGAATTAGAAAAAAAAAAAAAAAAAGCCCCATTACAAATACCAACATGTTTGGGATTTCACTCATTGTTTTCTGATTTTAGAATAAGAAATGAACTTGTATGCAAAATTCAGCTTCGGTGGGAAGCATAGTTAACCGTCTAAGTGGGTTTGATTGTTATATACTTACACACTGAAGACTAACTTAAACACTGGTTTGTTATATAATTACTTTTTTTTCTCCCCCTTCTTTTTGAAATAGGGTCTTGCTGTGTAGTTCAGGCTGGCCTTGAGCTCACTTGTTAGCCCAGGCTGGTCTTGAACTTGCAATGATCTTCCTGCCTTAGCCTCCTAAATGCTGGGATTACAGGTGTGCTGGGATTATAGGCATGTGCCACCACACCTGGCTATAATTATATATTGATTCAATCCCCAGTACTGTACAACAAGAAGAATAAAAACCTCATATTATTAAGTTAATATGTTTGCTTACATACTAACACTTGTTACACACTAAAGGAGCTCTTAGTCTTATTTGGGGCTCAATGTCATGTTGCTTCTATTTGGGGTACACATTGTTCAAGTTCTCTTGGAACTCAAGATTAAGTTTGTGTTTCACCTTCATTTGTCTTGAGCACACACTTCACTAAGTCTGTGGCAGCTAGATAGCATGTCCCTTAAACTTGTCTGAATGAACCAAGGGACCAAAAACAAATGGGTTTGGATTTCTGACATGAAAATATCTGAGATTATCAAAAGCAGATAGGCCCATTTGAACAGCCCAGCTCTGTGTGTATGTGTTACTGAACACTGAACCCAGAGCCTCTGCACTGAACTACATCCCCAACCCTTTTGATTTTTTGAGATCAGGGTCTAAGTTACTGAGTTGCCCAGGCTGGGTTTAAATTTGTGATCTTCCTGCCTTAGCTTTCCAGAGTGCTACAATTATAAACGTGAACCACCACCCCCACCTCTCTGGAGTTCAGATTTAAAATGAAATTGGGAGGTGTGGCTCATTGAAATTACTCACTTAGAAGATTCTAATAGCTCATTCTCATGTGAAATGGGGTGGGTACTACTGTGAGGTTTATCTGTGTTTATGAAGCCAGACTGTATTACAGAACCTGAACTAAGTCCAGAGATGAGTAGTTTACAATGCTAGGGCTGACCGTGAAGCAATAATTCCCTAAGCATGGATCATAAGCCACCAGTGGTACATAAGACATGTGTAGGAAATACTCAAATAATTATTTTAATGGTCATGTTATTTTAATGTATATAAGAAAACTAACTAGCATGAGATAATAATTGCTAATAAAAGTTTGCTTTTTTTTTTAAATGGGTAGAGTTAAAGAAAAATGTTAACAAATAACATAGATGAGTACAATAGTATTTGTTCCATGTTGGGAAGCATTGTGCTAAAATATCACAATTTTATTCGTTAAAACAATGAGCCATAAAGCATAAATTATAAACTGTGAGAATTCTTATTCTTTACCTGAAGAAGTGTTGGAGGCCATGGCGTATGTTTAAGATGCCTTACTTGAGAGATATGACGCCCTAGACTCCGATGGACACTGCAACACTCGTCACATATAAAAGTTCCCCTATTTACTGATGCCCAGGAAGGATCTGGAAAGAGAATGAAATCTCAGGGGCAAGGACAGCAGCTGGTTGCTCCACCATAGGATAGAAAAATGGTGACCGGGTTTGGTTTTTCAGAATCAGGACATTTTTGTTGCTTACTAAAACAATATACTGGGGTCGGGGAGATGGCTCAGTGGAATAAGCGCTTCCCTGGCAAGCGTAAGGGCCTGAGTTCAATCACTAGTTCCACAAAAAAAAAAAAAAAAAAAAAGATTGAAAACAATATACTAATGCTTATCACTGTATCAAGCTGGTAAAGGTCTATGATGACACTCCTACCTCAGCTGATGAAGTACAATGTTAACTGAGATGAATAACCCTAAATAAGCAGTTAGTTTCTCCTAAGCGCTATAGCCTTAGTGTGGATCTACCACCTTAGATGCTCTTTCATTCAATGTAAGAGAAGCAAACTGTGAGAACAGATGAATCATGTCAAATCCATATCCACAGCAGCAAGATAACCTAATTTTGGTAGTGAATTAGTCACACAGTAAATAAAGTAAATAAAATTATTTTCAAGTAAATGAAATTATTGCTGTCCTAATCACTGCAAATCAATGTCTGTATGTGTCATGCTTTAAATATGAAGTGTCCCCTAAAGAGGTAGGGTCTAGATAAGGGACCAGCCCATAAAAACTTGAATTTCATTAGTGCCCTAATACACTAGTGAGATCATAACTTGACATACTGAGGTGATGGGAACAGGAAGTTGGGCCTTGCTGAAGGGAGTGGGTCATCGAGGCTATGACTTTGGGGACTCTATCTGGTCCCCTGTCCCTTCTGCTCTGGCTCTTCCCTGTCTGCATCCTGGCTGCCATGAGGTGAGCTTTCCTCCATCCCACTGTTCCACCATGATATTTCTGCTTATGCATGGAGCTGACTGACCATGGACTGAAACCTCTGATAACATGACCAAGATAAACTTTTCCTCCTTCAAATTCATTATCTCAGGTATTTTGTCACAGCAACAGAAATTTGACTAACGTAATATTCTAACAGAAAGCTGTGAGAGACAGAACTATAAAATTGTTCAGCAGCTATAGTTTCAAGGGTAGAAAAATCTGGCTTCCTCTACTAGGAAATGGTCTATGATATCTATTAGTTGCTTTAAACAAATTACAGCAGAATTTAACTTTGTAAATGATATGAAAGAAAAGCTGCTTCACGGGGACAAAAATGTAAAATAGAAATGAGTAATATTTTTGGTGTGTGTATAACTCTTTTCCTGTGAAATCCTACAGAGATTCATTAGACATTCACTCAAACAAGGAATAACTGACACTTGGTAACCGGGATAGATCTGGGTAAGTAAACGAGCACTGAGAAGCCCCCCAAATGACAGATCTCTATTTCACGAGCCTCACAATGGGGTGATCACAGGTATTAGTCAAGCTGGTCTAAGGCTTGTATTTTTTAATTCTTCAATGTCCACAAAAACCTCTAAAATGGAAGTACATCATCTTTACCATTTTTAACAGTTTATCAAGCTTTTTAAGCCAGGTAATGAAAAGCTACAGGAGGCCAAAGACAAATCTTAAGAGCCAGAGAATGTGGCAGTAATGAGAATTGGCTCTACAGATAAGCAATCCATGGTTTCGAGCTGACTCTTCCACTTCTTAAACAAGGATCTTAGACAAGTGTTTCTGAGCATCCTCACCATGGGTCAAAGGGGAACAATAATACCTCTGAGGAGAGTAAGGATACATACTTTCAGGCAGTAAGTATCCAATAATGCTAGCTGTTATATCTTTTCTAAATATCATTGTATTATTTTCAAAAGTCCCCTAAAATTCATAATCACTTGAAAGATTTTTATTGGAAATACAGTACTTAAAACATTGAACATTTCACATGAATAGAATGCTACTATATTAGTATCTCACTGGAGTCTTCAGTAGATTGAACTTAAGAGTACAGTGTATTTAAAATGAACTAGATTAGGGGCTGGGGAGATGGCTCAGTGGAATAAGTACTTCCCTAGCAAGTGCAAGGGTCTGAGTTCAATCCCCGGTTCCGCAAAATAAAATAAAATAAAATGAACTAGATTCATTAAAAAAAAGTAAAATACTTAAGATAGGATCAAACGTAAATGTTTGCTATGAAATAAAACAAAAAAGTGTAACAGACATAGTGAAGTATAACTTTGCCAGTACTACTATGTCATTCTAAGGAACAAAGACAGGAAATATCAAGATGCAAGATCCTTACAAAGGTGCACAACAATATACCTTTCTGCTTTTATTACTATAAATGACCAAATAAAACAAGCTGTTTGGAAATACAGCTTTGGTTTTGGCTTTTAACATATCATGAAAAGGACTTACAGGACTGGAGAAATTGAACAGGAACAAGACAAGCAAGGGTTTAACACACATTAAGTGAGGTTCTCAATCACTTAGACATCATATGTTAGAATCTCACAGAAAGAATGTTAACAGCATAGAAAAATAAAAATTAAGTTTGAATAAGATTGGGTAAAATCCTTTCAGTTTAACAGGATGCTTTATGCCAGGGTTTCTTAGATTGATGGATACCACAAATGGATTTCAAAAATCTCTACCCCTCCCCACTCTACTTAACACAAATTTTGTGTGAAAGAGTTAAGTACATATGCATTTTCTGGGGAGAAGGTCTTACCATTCATCAGAATCTCAAAATGGTCCCTACCGGTATAGTAATGTGTTCATGAGGACTTGATAGAAAAGGCCGCATAAATTCCTAGCTGTTCAAATTCACAGAAAATGTAAAGGTAGCCTCATTATATTCAAAACAGGAAGGAAGTGACTCAAGTCTCTGTAGATGAGGCATTCAAGACAACCAAAATGATACACTGGAAGAAAAACAAATTCTGAAATGCATAAAACACTACAAAAGTGCTAGATAGCTGGGCCTGGTGGCATGGGCCTGTAATCCCAGGGTTTGGGAGGCTAAGGCAGGAAAACTGCTGCAAGTTCTAGGCTAGCCTGGGCTATGTAGCAAGACCCTATTTCAAAAAAGAAAAAAAAAAAAAAGATAATATTTAGGATGCCAAAAACAAAAAATTTAGGATGGCAAAGGAAAAGCAATCTGTCTTTGCTCCATACAATCCATTAACAAATAAAGTATATGTATCCTAAGAGGAAGTATGAAGGGAGAATGTGAATCAAACATCACAGACAAGTTCAGCTGAAAGTTGGCGGAGGAAAAAAAAAGAAGTGGAGCAATAATATTTTCAGAGAAAACAACAGTCTATATAATATTGTTTTATAAAATACTTCTTTTAAAGCTCCTCTATTCCCTTCCCTATTGTCAAAGGAAACTAAAGCACTACCTGCACTACCCGAGCCATGAAATAACCACATAAGGGTTATCACAGTACTATTTAAAATCAGTGTCTGCTTCCAAATGACAAGATGAAGAACTGAACAGTTGCAAAGCCACTGGTGTTCAATGACTCACGTAAGATCGTGTATTGGGCACTGTTCTCCCAAGAAAGCCATCTGGCATCTGAATTAGTTTAAACCCAAAGCTGTTAAGTTAGAAAACAGCATCTATGCTGAGACCTGTTAACTCAGTTCCAACTGCTAAAATAGATTTAATGTTTAAATCTGAACATTATGTACAGTAAGAATGGTTTTGGCCTTTTAATGTCGCTGTGTGCTTACACTGCCACTAACTCTGCTTTTGTTTGTTAAAACTGTAATTTAGAAACTAGCTTTAAGGCAATGTCAGGATTTGGGACTGAATAACATAATTTTAAGAAAAAAAAACTTATTAGAGAAGATCCTAACAATATCAATTTGATTTCCCTAATTATGAAAAATAGTACTCCCAATTATCCTTACTGAAAAAAATGAGGAAATCAAAGCTTGACCAAGTGAAGTCACCAGCCCAAGGTCACTGAGAGGTAACATCTAGTGTGAACCTAGGCCCTCTGGATCCCCAAACTTAAGACACACACTGATTCCTAAGTGCTGCATGCGTCTGCAACACCCCAACACGGAGATTCCTCTTCGCCCCCAGAAAGCAGCTGCTGGGATGTCGGGAGTGGGAAAGTCATTCACCAAGCACCCGCACCCTCTGGCAAGTCTCCAGGGGGAAAGCCGGGAGTGCAGCCCACCCAGGAAAGGTCCCCTAACGGGGCTGGGGTTCAGTGAAGGCTGACACCTGCAGCCTCTGGCAGCAGCTGCCGGTAGGACGCTAGCACTTTACTTCTGTAATTGGCCTTCCTGTGGGTTGCCCAAGCCCCTTCCTGTCTGGGGAGCGGCTCAGGCTCCGCCACCTCCCCGACTGGCCTGAGACGGAGTGCAGAGGGAACGAAATGGATGGGAGGGTGGCGGCCCCCTCCCCTTCTGGCTGTCAGGCCCGCGCCTGGTCTGGCCCCGATGCCGTCCCAGGGTCCCCCTTGCGGGAGCCCGTTCGCGAAGTGCGCAGCTCGGTCGCGAGAACCCGCCTGTCCCAAGGGGGCAGCCCCAGGACAGGGGTCCCGTCCAGGAGCAGAGGGGAGCGGGCCCGGCCAATGCAACTCACCCGGCCCGCTGCAGTCAGCGCACACGTCGCTGCTCCGGAGCCGCTTCGACATGGCTCCCGCCTTCACCTGCCGGGACCCAAGAGCCCCGGGAAAGCGAAGGCAGCGGTGGCGCTTCCGCTCTAACGGGTCCCCGCGGCAGAGCTGGCAGCAGAGCCTCTCCCCTCAGCGCCTCGAAGCCGCTGCGCAGCACGCACGCGCGGGGAGGTACCCTTCTGCGCCTGGCAGATCACGTGACCGGAAAGGGCAAGCTTCCCTGTCGCCATCTTAGGTAAGGGCAGGGCATCTTGACCAGTCTCTAAATCCTCTTGTTTTTAGGTCTCTTTTACTGAAAAAGAGCTACCTCATGCTAGAACTGATTAATACCAGGAGAAGTGGCAAAATCTGGCGCTCATAACTTGCCCGAGGCGAACAATGATTAAATGAAGTTCATTCATTTCTCTATCCAAAAATTGGTGATTGAGAGTGTATCGTGTTCCACACAGTGTTCCAGGCTCTGAAGAAACTGCAGTGAGCAAAGAAGACATTTCCAGTTCTTGTAGAATTTATAGCCTACTGAGCGTAGATCTATAATAAAACAAGTAAGATGAGGCTATAGGAGATGATTAAGTGCAGTTTCAACATTACCTTCAGAATGGAGATAATATATTGTTTATTAATTGTCTGGTTTGTTTTTATATGGTCTTTACGTGACAAGTATTACTTTTAAAAAAAGAAAATGAAAGAGAGGGAAACAAAAAGTGGAATAAGAATACGCAACAAATCTGTATCCAGCAAAGCTAAGTATTTACTCCTTGGCTATACAGATAGGTATAGAACCATGTGGTACCATGGAAAGTCTTCAAAAAATAGTTGTTCCTATTACTCTTGACATTACTTTTTTTTTTTTTTTTTAAGTCCATGATCTTTGTTTCTTTTTCTTCTTTTTTTTAATTCAGGGTTTTGCTATGTAGTATAGACTGGCCTTGAACTCACTATGTAGCCTAGGCTGGGCTCAAGACTCATAGCAGTCCTCCTATCTCAGCCTCTCAAGTACTAGGATTACAGGCCTGTAAGACCATGCCTGGTCACATGATTAGTATTTTCTAAATACTTCTTTTTATCATATGTTTGGAATTTGAGATAAAAATAGCTAAACTACAGTAATTTACAGGATGGCATGAAATAATAAAATGAGGTTAACCAGCCTGAAGGCAAGATGTGAGCTAAATATTGATGAGTATTTATTGTTTGTGTTACATGTAAACACAACTATCATCTCCACCCAAAAAATAATAATTACTTATTGTGGGTCAGATACTATTTTAGGTATTCAAGTGAACAAAACAAATATGGTTGCTGGCATTGTGGAGTTTTCAAATAATGAGATATGAGAACAAAAAAGAAAGAAGTTCAAGAAGGTTTCTGAGAGGGACCGTGGAGATAGCTCAGTAGAATAAGTGCTTGCCTGGCAAGCGCAAAGGCCTGAGTTTAATCCCCGGTTCCGCCAAAAAAAAAAAAAAAAGGAAGGTTCCAGAAAGAATGAGAAGAGCCCTCACTGGTGTCTGGTCCATCTATCCAGTGATGATAAATGTGCAAAGTGGGAATAAGTACCTAGTTTCCACACGTTCCACAGTTACAGCCTCTGTGTGCCATAGATAGACACAAAACTCTATCCTGTTTTGGTACAACTCCCAAATCTGCCTCCACTTCCACACATGTGGAAAATGGATTAGACCAGAATTCTTAGAACAGTTGTTGCAAGGCATCTGAAAAGCTGGATTTGTATGAGCGGAGAAGACAGGGAGAATGTTTTCAGGATGCACTGAATAACTTTGCCGATCTATGTTGTCTAGCTGCAGGCTGGTGAAGAAAAGCAGTCAAAGGGGGCATTGAGTTTCACACCCAAAGATGAGCTTTATTTTTGTAAACTATGCTCAAATCCAAGTATATTGGTCCTTTTAGGCATAAGTACAAATCCAAACGGCTAGCTTAAATGACACTCAAATTGAATAAACCACCACTACAAGTAGCTCTGAATCTTACCAGTTAGGAATTCAGATAGAGCAGTGGTTTTCAACTGGAGGAGATTTTTCTCTCTTGGGGCATCTGGCACTGTCTGGAGACTGGAAATGCTACTGGTATTGAGGACTGGGATAAGGATGTTGTTCAGCATTCTACAGAGCATCAGAGACCCCTCACACAAAGAATTACCCAGTTCCAGACGTTTTAAGGTTCAGAAGTCCTGATTCAGAACTGTTTCCCTTATTATGCAAATATCTGAAGCCACTTATCTAGGGTTTAAAGTTCCCATGATCCTGCCTACCTCCAGTCGTCTGAAGAATGGATTAGACCAGAATTCGTGATCAACGGGTTGCAGCTAGACGACACAGCTGACCAATCGTAGCAGGATCTGCCCTGGTCCAAAAGGCTACTAGGGAATCAGTAGCGGGAATGGTTTGGTCCAGATCCCTGTTGTCACCCCCCCACACACACTGCAGAGCCAATGGTAGAGGCTTGGTTGTGGCCTGAACCATTTGAGGTAGCTGGAGCAGGGAGATTGAGGTTGGTGATAGGCAGATCGAGCATTTCAAGTTGAGGGCATGGGGCCAAAGGACAGAACTTCGCTATATTTTATAGTTCTGTCTATGTTTTCCGTTGTGATGTTGAACGCGGATGGCACTGATTGGACCTTTGACCCATTCGTTGCTTGAGCTCTTCCTCCCCTCCGGGGGTGTGTAGTGGTTCGCTCTCCACACTTCCCTGTTTGGGGCAGTTGGGCCCGCAGAAGTCTGTTGGGGAGCTGTCAGCGCTGGCGCGAGAGCGAGCGCGTCCGGGCGCGGGGTGGGCGCGGCCGACCCGGTCCCCAAGCCGGCCCGCGACCCCACTCCTCGCGCGCCCACAAGCTGTCCCCTTTCCGGCCGCGAACCGAGCCGCTCGCTTGAGCGCCCGCTACCCTCGTGTTTTTTTTTTTTTTTTTCTCCTGCCGGCTGCGGAGACCCCGCCGGGGCTGAGGCTTCTGGGAGACGGGTGGCCAGGGCCAGCTGCGCTCTTAACCATGTCCTCGACCAGTGACGCCAGCAGCCACTTCCCTCTGCACGTCCTGGTCTGGAACAACGACTACCGGCAGCTGGAGAAAGTGCTGCGCGGCCAGGTGAGGTGCGGGCGGAGGGAGTCGCGGAGGTCCTTTCCTGTCCCTGAGCCCATTTTCAGGCCTCTACTCCGGGGCCCCAGTAAACCCCTTTCAGTGTGCGGACGTGGGACAGTAATGATAATAGGACGTACACTGAGTGCTTCCTGTATGTCAGGCCCTGCTCCGTGGGCTTTTTGTGCATCGTCCCTTTAACCTTCCCAATATACGAGGAAGCTGGTACTGTTATTCCACTTGACAGGGAAGGAAACTGAGGCTCTCAGTTGGCCGCTTGCCTTTGTGGGAGGCCTCCCGGGTAATTAATACTAAGATGGGAATTTTAATCCAGGCAGGCCAGGTCCAAGCGCCACTATCTCAAAGACCAACACATACCCCCATACTTCACCCACCGTTGTTGCGAAGAAGGGTTTAGTCGGTTTTAGAATCTGGATTCTAACTTCCCTGTGACCTTGGGTAAGACGTTTTGGTTCAGGGGCCCACATTAACTTACCCGTGAAATGAGGATGTTGGTAGTGATGTGGTAAAACCAGCACAGTATTTGACTGTATTGACAGATCTGGGTTAGAGCCTAGGAATCTGTATTTAACAAAGCTCCCCATGGAGGCTGATACGTGGTGAAATTTAAGAATCGCTGATGCGCAAAGCTCCTTAAAAAACCTTTCTGTCTTCCTGACGTGCTTTGAGTTTTTTGTCTTTTATTTATTACAATCCCTTTAAAGCAGGAAAATCATTCTCAGTTGGAGGCCTACCCCTCCATGTTCCCTTTGGCAATGTATGGAGACATTTTTCTGGTTGTTTTAAGTGGGGAGTGGGTGCCCCTGGCATCTAGTGGGTAGAGGCAAAGGATGCAGTTTGACATTCATTCTAAGATAGATGAGGCAGCCACCCACAGCAAAGATTTGGCTTCAAATGTCATAGTGTCTTGGTTGAAAAACCTCGCTTTAAAGGCATCCTGGCAATTCTAGGAAGTATTGGTAGCAAATAGGATAAGGTTTTGTAATTTATTACTATCTGGTGTAATTGTATGGGTGCCTTCATTCATTTTGTTCAGTGAGTTAAAGAATGCTTGTAAATAGCTCCAAATTGACTCTAATTGTCAATAAATGTCAGGGGAAACAGAGCATTGGTTCTTTTTGGTTGGCAAAACTTAAGGAAGGTCAGCATCACTGTGTTTGGACAGCTACTGCCAAGTGTGTGCTTGCAGCCTGCCACGTTTAAGTTGGTTGAGTATCAACCAAAAGTCAAAAATCTTTTTTTTTTTTTTTTTTTTTTTTTTTTTTAAAAAGGAATTTTTTTTTTTTTTCTTTTTTTTTTTTTTTTTTTGTATTTTGGGGAAGGGTCTACAGGGTGTTCAGGTCTCATTACTAGATTGGACTCATAGTGATCCGCCTATTTACAGCCTCCCAAGAGCTGGGATTACAGGCGCCAAAAGGAACTTCAGACAGAAAAGTTTTTAAAGTGTCATTCTTCTTAATTAGCTGGTATGTAATTGTTTAAGAGTTAAGGAAATATGAAACATGACCCAGACAAAATGATTCACCATTAGGTATTCCAGTATACCTGATGACTTAATCCTCTATTACTACATGGCTCAGAGGCATTCTCTACCATTTTACTCTTAGCTCTGTATTGGTAGGTCTCAGGTAGGACATTTTAAAAATCACTTCCTGTTTTGTAGAGTTCTTTTTTTTTTTTTTTTTTTTTTTTTTTGAGACAGGGTCTCCCTGTGCAGTTCAGGCTGGCCTTGAGCTCACTTTGTAGCCCACGCTGGTCTCAACTCACACATGATTCCCTGCCTCAGCCTCCTGAGTGCTGGGATTACAGGCGTGCGCTACCATGCCCTGTGTTTTTGTCTCTATTTGAGGCTATATTTCTCAGTGGTCTGGCTGACTAGCTTGTGCAATATTGAGAGAAAATACAAAGCCATAGAGTTAAAATCCCCTTTGAAATAACATTTCATCATTAAACTGTATTCTTTCTATCCTAATTTATGTAAACAGTGGACTTTCTATTCATTGGATGTAAAGAATTTAAATGTTTGATAAGTACAAACACTCTTGGTTTATAATCCAAAGTGTG